TCCATGGCTGCACACAACCAATTAAGGCCCCTAATTCCCGACCACACTGCTATTCCAGATCAATACGGCGGTCATGGTGACGGTAGGGAAGCGGGGCACATCCTTGGGTTATACGAAGATACCTGTTATAACTTATAACAAGTGGTCGGAATTAGGTAGAGTTATTCATGTACTTCACTGATTTCATACAGCGAAAGAATATAGTGGAGATGCCTCAAATCCCGAGATTAATTTTAAAGAGCAGAAAAAATCCCGTGTTTGTTTAAATAAAAAGTTATTTACTTTTACACAATTTAAACTACTGCACGCACGACGTTGCCAAACTTACATCAATGAAAGATAGAAATAAAGAAAGAAGAAATAAAGAAATCCCGGGAAGGTTCACATTAATATCAACATTTCGATGCAAGTACATAAATAACTCTACCTAATTCCGATCTCTGCTTATAACATATGGAACCGAAACGTGGACACTCACAGTGGGACTTGTTTATGAGATGAAAGTCATTCAGCTAGCTATGGTGAGGGATATGCTCGGTGTTTCTTTGAAGGATTGAATCCGAAATGAGGTGATTCGTCATAGAACCAAAGTAATCGATATAGTCCACCCTAAAAACAACAAGTTAGCAGTAGAACCGACAGTCGAAATGGATGCGAATAGCCGAAGATCGAGTTCGATGGCGTGCGCTTGGTGAGCCCTATGTTCAGCAGTGGACGAACTGAGACGGTACTTATAAGGGGGCATTCCCTACTCGTCATCACCAATTTCGCTCAAATTTATAGGACATGTAGGACTTGGTTAGAGATAAAATTACCCAAAGTGGGAACTCCAGATGGCCAAGCGTTTAAAAAAAAAATCTTTTTCGCGACTTTTTCACCATATAAGATATAAATGCTTTCTTTTTAAATTTAAAGAAATAAAAAATAAAAAAAAAGGTCTCCCCGTGCGGAAACGAACTCACGACCATGAGATTACTAGTTGGAGCTCTTACCGCTACGCCAGCTGCTGGTTGGTAAACTTGTCAACAAAAATTTTCGCGACTTTTTCACCATATAAGTTATAAATGTTGACAAGTTTACATTAGGCGGTCGCACTCCAGGTAAATGGTAAATTTAAGAGGTAACTTTGTAATTTTATTTTATCAAGGTTTTAAACATTCTCGTTGACCTCATCAGTATTATATGTAGAACATGTGATATATATTTTTTCATTTATAATTACATCTGGTCATTTTTGTCAAAACCATTGGTTATATTGGTTTAGTCGCTCTCTTATAGATTAACGAATGATTTTTATTTTGGAAATTCACATTTCTTGATAGAAACACTAGAATCTCTGTGCCTGTTTTCATCAAAGCTTTCAATTGAGAATATGAATGTGTTATTAATTACATAATAATATTAATACATAATTGAAATCCTGTAACAACCTGGTCAATCTGTTTTTACAGAAAAGTAACTAGCTCGAAGCTGAAAAATGTGAAATATTTATTAATAATAATGAAAGTAATGATAAGAATGGAGATGCGTTCAGAAATCAAGAATTATGTTAACTTTTGCTCTACCCTAGGTAGGACATTGACATTAAGCGTACGGAAACATTCTACATTCTAGACACATATTCATTTGCTATTCCTGAGTTTTATGCTGAATATAAATTAGATGATTTCGATACCTATAATCTTTGTAGCAATGAACTTCAGCAGCATCAGTCTATTAAAGTGCGTATATTGGTGAAGAGAAAACGAGACAAATCAGCAAGCCAGTCGATGTAAAACATAGAGCTAGATCAGTTGTTCCTACCCTATTGTTAATTACTCTCGCGGGGGTATATCAGTTATTTTTTGGGGGTAAAAAAGAATCTGCAAGTCTATTTGCTAATTCAATTAACAGTTTAAAAGTCGTAATCACTGGGAAAAAGTGAACAATTCCAATGTCTCAAAATCACTTAATCGTGTGATCTCTTGCCCACAGATCTCTGTATAAAACATATTTTTGTTGTCCTCAAAGTTATAGAATAAGGGGGCTGATAATAAAGACCAAATTTTATTGAAGAACAATAAAATCATCTCAATGCAGAACATGATTTAAGATGTGATTTAAGCGAAAATAAAGCGATAATATCACAGCCATATTTAATTATCTTCCAATAGGTGCCTGATAAATTTCAAGTACAATCGGAGGCCTTAATGCTAAGAAGCTATTTCTTCCAGGATACCTCATAGGATTAGGAAAAGTTTAGGAACCACTGATATAGATGGAGTATTACATGATATGGAGCGTCAAAATAATATTAATAACTTACAGCCCTGAAATAGTTGTTGTTTTTAAATATTTTTAAATATAATATTTACTTAAAAACTATTAGAGTTACTGTAAAAATTATTTCATAATTACACCGATCTCTAAACTAATATTGTGGTGACCCAAAAGCATCGTAAATAAATCATGTAATTTTAAATAATATTTTTTTTTAAATTGGTGGCTATTATTGAATGCAGATGCCGGGACAAACATCTTAATGTGGCTTTTAAAGTACGGAGGAGGTTGAGATAATAAATTTTTGGTCACCCATCTTATGACTGGCCTTTGCTAAAGTTGCTTAATCTCCACATCGCAGACTGAACTCTTTACCACTGCGCCATCGAGCTCATCGCCTCCCCAGGGAGATGTTGATGGCCTTTTATGTTTATATCTGTGCAGGATCTTTTGTGTGCGAATCCTACTTGCTTCTATTGAAGTAGAAAAAATCCAGTCACAAAATTCACTTAACTGAACGCATTAGATTAAAACATCCGCGCCCCGTTTATAATTCAAGCCATGTACAATCACCGCCAAAATTTTTGGGTCACGTTTCGGTACAGTTACCAACACACGTACAGTTACAAGGTGATTTACGGGCGTCGCCGGATTAACAGTTGTTGGCATAAACTTTCAATATTACCGCGAAATTTATTAGGTCACTATGTTTAATGTCAAATACTTCGAATGTGTGAATGGAGATGACCTATGACGTAGTTTTTGTTTCTTTTTTTGCTGACGGTGCATACTTTAATTGGATTTACTTAATACATTATATTAATAAGGATTAGCCAACATCACATAAATTTCTCAAATCTAAACTTCACAATATGGAAATCTGAATCCGGGGTCTCAGAGATGATATTTTGAAATGAGCTCGCGAGCCACCCGGCTGCGGAAGTCGTCGTATTTTTTCATATTCCTATTAATGTTCCCACTATTGGGGAGGCCTTAAGATGGAATATAAATGGAGAACGAGATAATATAACTCATCATACGAGTTCAGTTTCGGCTTTAACGACTGCAGATGAGGCGGGGACCAATGGCTTCATTTTTGGTCATCCATCCTATTAACGATTTTATGAAAATTGCTTAACATCCGTATCTCAGACCAAACGCGGTAGCTACTACTCAATCGAGCGAGATTTACTATACTAGCCGAAAACGGAAAGGGTTTATTTTTACTACTTTAGTATGTAAGATACTAATATTTCGCTCTTTGTAAGAACCTTCGTAGGACTTCAAAGAATTGTAAAAATAAGTATAATACAGTTGTTTCAGTTAAAGGTCCTGATAGGAATTATGAAGTATTAAAATATAATCTTTATAAAAACATTTTAAATAATTTATTTTGAAAAAAAATACAACATTCTTGCGTGGTGGATAATGATCCGTTACTGTGATGTGATCGATTGGTCTGCGGGAGGGCACTATGGGTCTGAGGTCTGCGTCGTAGCAGTGGTCAATGATGACTAATTTCTAAATTTAAAATGCAATATACATTTTGTGATTAGAATCTGTATAACAAAATCTATATTAACGAAAAAATTTAAAGCATGTGACCTCTTTCTAGGACAATAGGTCTTGGCGTGCGCGCCGTTTCGAGAAATAACTATTAAGTGAATTTATTAAATTAATTTATATTCATTTTGCGTGCCAATGACGAAGTGTTGTTTTTCGCACGAGTGCAATCAACTTTGGCATAAGTATTGTATTGAAATTTTATAGAGTCTGTGATATATTGAGATCACAGTTACTCAAGGGCGATATGACTAATATTGTTATGTAAACAAATATCCCGACAAATGTCTGCTACTGTACTGGACCATGCACTGTTCATATTATCACAGAAATGCGGGACACTGCTGTGTACCTACAGACATTCTTGTTTGGATGGTAGCCTACAGACTCTTGTAACTCAGCTGTGACGTCACTTGCGCACGTTCTTCCTTAGGACGCAGTTGTACCGCCTCTATGCCCATCCTCTGTATTGGAGCTCACGCCTCCACACTATAACACAACAATGCAGTACACTGCATGTATATTCTCTATATCCAGCCACTGCACTGGACCTTGCGCCTACCACGCCACAATACCCGGTTAATGTACCTAAAAGTATGAGATTGAATTGAAACACTATTATAAATATTTTTGGTAAATTTTTTAATGCACAGCATCAAGATGTTAAAGGCTCGTTTAGATGATTATCCCATAGTGATCGTGGAGATAACAAATCTTTGATTATCAAGATGTGATAGAATTTAAACCTCATTATGATTTCGAGTCACAACGTACTCGGGCCTGCCAAAGCTGAGTGAGTGTACAGTCAGAATAAACATTTAATTTTATATATAAATCCGGATAGATTAGAAATTATATAGCTTACTGCACTCGAGAACGAAAAATGCAAATAGTATCAATCATCCTTTATTTAAGTAAGTTTACATTCAATTTCTATTTGTATAATGTAAATTTATTAGTATGATCTTTTTACGTAATAGATTAAGTTAACTATTTTATACTTATTTCTATGTTAACTACTTATAGATTTCTGTTCACAATTTCCTTTCATTCAGTCCAAAACACATTTAAAATATTTTCACTTACTATATGTTTGTTTTGCTGACGTTACCTAATCCTTCATTGACGATTCCGTAGATAGCCTCGTCTCCCCTGATGTTTATAAAAGAGTGTTATACCTCGAAAATATTCGCATTCTCATTTATTTCGCGAACTAGTGCAGTTTTGTTGCCATGTTGAAAAATAATATTCGATACGACATTGAGTAAAAACTTTTGTTGCCGATTGTACTTAAGTGATGGTGATTTTTTTATACACAAGTTTCTAATTTAAATTTTAAAGGTAAGAGATCATTAATTTCTGTAAAAAATCTCTTAAAAAACTGTAATAAGAAATTTTAACTAAACATGTTAAACGAAATATATATATTTTTTTAATTAAATTTATGGTGATTTGTGTTATTTACGAAAAAAATTCTATAACATAATAAATATCAATATTTCATTATCAATTCAAAATTTATCAAATATTATAAAAACGGACGATTAATTTGCTCTTTAAATTGATTTTATCGTAAAGCTTAAACCCAACTAATAATTAAGTCACATTTTCATCTTACTAGAATGTTGAAAAGTATTAAATTTTGTAAAAATATCTTTCTTTTTATGTAAGCAGTGATAGAAATGTATTTACTAGCAGTAAACGAAAAATACAGGGCTATATTTAAAACAATTTAGCAGGATAGCTAATATCATAATAATAAAGCGAAAATTCAGGGGTCAGTTTTATCCTAAAATTACAATTATTATTATTTGTCTTTTGTTGATATTTCACTATTTCATTACATTTTGCTTTATACAAACGTAAATTTTAATAACAACTCAAATCGTCAAGTTTACGTTAGCGTGCGAGCGTAACGTAGTGCTTGAGAAATTCGTCAGTCTTATTGGGTTTTAAATAGCTTAATAGTTAGCAGTCGCCCGAATTTCGAAAGGTTGTGGGGTTCAAATCCCATTTGGTGGTAACTGGTACTGGTGAATTTTATATGCATTATTCTTGAAGATAAATATTGTGATAGTAAAATTGAACAAATACATTTTCATGGTTAATCTTGTTTATTTAACTAAAACACTAATGTTTTCTAAATAGCCCTATATATGTAGTCTTTTTAAGATATTGGCATTAGGCATCGTTGTGGATTGCGAAAAGTAGGTTTGAGTTTGTTTTTGGCCTCAAAGACTCGAAATTTTTAAGCTTTATTTATGAGATTAACTGTTAAAATTCTTGATACTGGATTAAAATTTTTGATAGAAAATTAGTGAATTTTCTTGTTTTCTTAAATATTTTAAAACACAGTAATGAAATTGCTAAAGTAAATGTTAATTTATTGTTTATCACCTGCCAATTTTTTTAGATTCAATTCAAAATGGCTTCAGCGACATCATTGTTATTGATATTATTCGTCGTCGCGTGCTATTCTTTCGATGAAATGGACGTATTTAGAACAGGCAATGTGCAGTTATTTTTGAGGGTAAGAAAAAGTTTTAATGAGATATATTTTACTATAAAATCAAAGATTATATTTATAAAAAATCAAATCAAAGTAATCCAAATTTGGCAAACCAAGTAATATTTTATAATTTTGATTGCTTTATATTGTAGAAAATATTACAGATTCTAATCTAAGGATGTACGAGTCAGGCAAACACCTTTAAAACGGCACAACCATATTTACAAATTTTGATAGTCCTAGTGGTTTTAACATATATTTTCCTATTGTAGGCTATGACGAATGACACTAAGGCTGCTGACACACTTAATTTGCCAGCTAACGCTACTTCTATAAGAGAAAATATTACAGACACTTTCAGGTATGCTATTTCTATTATATTCCTACTTTATATTGCTATTAAGAGACGTTACGTTAATGTTCCCACTGTTTAAAAATTAATAAAGTACACTAATATTTATAATGAAATGAAAAAAATTGTGATAATTTTCATTTGTTTTCTTTCAGTTGTGAGAATCGTACCTATGGTTATTATGCAGACGTGGATAATGAATGTCAAGTGTTTCACGTGTGTTTGCCATCGCAGACACCAAGTGGACGTAATGTCACATACAGATGGAGCTTTATATGCCCCAAGGAGACTATTTTCAATCAGGTACGTTCATCATCATTGTTTCTATTATTATTATCCTTTTGGCTGGGAAATTGACTTTGCCCATTAATACAGCCGGCTTTAAATAGTCCGATTAAAGTTGCTTTAGAAGATAGGGCGTGAGTATAAGGAATTCGCTCAGTAATCCCTTTGCCGACATATGGTACTTTTGCCGACCCAGGAGGAGGACTTATGGTCCTCCCTTATTTAGTAAACTGTTACAATATGGACAGATTAACAAGTGGAGATGGCCATAGTCTATCATGCAAGCTTAGTGAGGATTGGGAAGTTAACGATGTCACCAGGACCAATGGCTTAGTGTACTTTTTTAAAGCACGGAGGAGTTAGAAATTTTATTGTATTGCCCAGATTTTTTCGAAAAATGGGAAATTGAATGAGAAACTTATTTAGCTGTAGTCGGGTTTAAGTTTTTGAACTTATATTTTTTATTTAATTAAGTTTACACCCGGTATTAAAGTAAAGTGCAGATTAAGCCCTTTCATTTTATACCCTACACGGAATGATTATATATATATATATTTTTTAGTTTCTAACTTTATGGTCCCTGAAATGTAACGCCTCATAGCTTATAGCGTTAATTGTTAATTATTTTTTATTAGGAGGTCCTTGTTTGTACGAGATCAAGAGATGCTATACCTTGTGAAGAATCACCGATGTTCTACGATGTTAATATGGAAATAGGAAAAGTTTCTAACGATTCAAAAGACGATACGATGAAAGACCCAAATAAACAAGTGGAAAATGTAAAAGTGGACACATCTAGGCGAAACCATAAAAGACCAGGAAACAGAAAACAAAATATTATAGTGCAAAACCTCCTTCAAAACGTAGTAGATGAAGAAATGGTTAAAGTTGATGAAATGGAATTTTATAATGAACCTATGGATGGCATCGTTGACGAAATAGTGCCGGTTATAGTTGATATGCCAAGCGATAAACAACTTAATGTTGAAGAAGTAGAAGATAGATTTGATGTTGAAGAGAAAGAAGCTAACGACAGACTCTTAGAAGAAAGAAGTATGTATCAAAATATAAGGAATTTGAGACGAGGTGGATTTAGATTTAAAGCTGATGTTTGAAAATATTGTATCTATTAAGTAAAGATTTATTATGATTGAACTAAGTTAGATTAAGATAAACAAATATTGAATAGCTAAAATAATTGTAAATATGAGGATAACAAGCAATAAATAATCATGATATATTACTTGAAGTATTTTTTATACAATAATTGTAATTAACTCATTTATTATTTAAAAAAATACAAGTTCTTTATTTATAACGTTAATTTGAGTTTGAGTATTCTATTAATATTTAATATTCTATTAAATCTTCTGATTTCATTGATGGTTATTATATCTACTAACATTTTAGCGTTAAGACAAGCTTTAGTAGACCTGTATTTCGGTTCTGGTTAGATATTAAAGAGTTAGCGTATATCTTATAAGAGAGTTATAGGGTGTAAACCGTTATTTAGATACCTTATAACTAATTAGTAGCGATTTTTGTGTCATAGTTTAGCTAGTTAGCTTTAAATTGATCAAATGTTAAAGTTATCATAATATGACAAGTGCTTCAGTCGGTCTACCTTTCATCACGAAATGTAAGTATAATGCCTTAATATATATATTTTTACAGTGTGCTAAGTGGGTCTAAAGCTTATTTATAAGTGCGCTTGCAAGTTTAACGTGATTATTATTTATTAGTAGTGTTACTCATCTCAATTTTGTCCCGTCCTCAAAAATATATGATTTTAAGTATAACACCAAGAAAACAATTAAAAGTGCTAATAACCTAAAATAATTTTAAGACTGCAATTTTCAAAGGTTTTAGTTTTTAGTTTTAGTCTTCGTATATACTAAAAAAGTCAGAATCAAGTCAATAATTGGGTAAATTTTGGAACTGAGATATAAAATAAGTGAATTTGTATTAATTAACATTTCAGATTATCTTGACAGAAAATGATCAAAAATGGTGATTTTTTCCTTAAGGTACAGTCTTCGTTCAAGTATAATACTACACTCGAATAACAACAACGATAGTATCTAAGATTTTTGTCCTTGGTGATTTAAAAGAGGCATTACGCACTGAAGTCATTTTCCTACTGCAGAGGGTAAAATAACGCTTTCAGCTTTATCTTTAAACATCGAGATTAGTGTTCAATAGAAATTGAAATCCTACATCTTTAGGTAGCTTTCATCGAATAGTTTAGTATTCGTACGAAATATAATCTATAAAGTAAAACGTAATAATAATTACAGCATAAAACGCCTGTGTGGAATGTTAATTATTAATTTTATTATCTCTTATTACATAGACCTAAAATTAGTAAAAAAATTCATCAAAATCAGCCAGAGTGGAGGCCCCAGTTCGCGCTGGGATGCCGCCGCCGATGAACGTTGTCGGGTCCCACACCTTTGCGCCCGTTACACCTCCGGCGCGCGAGAGGACGACGCTGTGCTACTACTATATATCTATTTGTAGTTTATATCGTAATAAAGTAAATGTTGATTAAAAAATACCGAATTAATAATAAATCTTCTTATTACCTAATCTTCCTATACTGTTTATGGAGTGACATAAAGTACAATATAATAAATATTATTGTGGGTTACATCAACTAATTTGTACTTAATTTCACCAGGGTGTATTTTATTAACTTGTAACGAATAATAGAGTTATTCAACTTTATACATATTTAAATAAGACGATTTAATGGGAGTTTCAAATATAACATCTTTATTGACATTTGAAATAATGGCGTCTGCAAAATGGTGCTTGAATGAGGCAAAGAAATTGTGCTGATTTAAAATTAAAAGTAAATCTTATAAGGCATAAAGGTAAAGGAAGTAAGTTAATTTTTTTTGATTTTCCCTTGGTATAATATATTTTGTTAATAAATCAGAATTATCATCATCTTTTTCGTCCGAGCTACTATCAAAATAAAACTACCAATATTGAAAAATCTTTATTAAAGTATTCCTCATCCAAATTTTGTACGGAACCATTCTGATATTGTTGCTGAATTTTATATCTCACATGCATGCACAACGTGCAATTCACACAATTAAATTTAGCAGATGAATATTTAATGGTGTGATTGAAAAGTTACCTACAACTTATATTCTTACCAAAACCTTTATATTATGATCGTTCAAAACTGCTGTACAAACTTTAACTATATATAATAGTTATACTACGCATGTAGAGTTTGGTGTTACTACACTCTTATACTATAACTGCGTTGTGGAACTATTAACGTCACTAAAGTTGAAATACAGCCTTGTGTCCTATAAGGGTCGCCAATATAGAATATTTATAGGAATAACAGATACAGAGAGTTCGTGAAGACCTTTAAAATGCTTTTGACGTTGCAGGCCGAAACAAGCTTTAACGTTATAAGTATATAAGCAGCCACTGCTACTGCAATAACTGTAGATAAATTGTAATGCATTATTTACAATTCTAATACTACCACGGGATTTAGGGGTCTCTTATAAGTAAATTGTACCACCTCTAGTGACAACTGAAACCATTATAAATCAAAAGTATTACTCTAAACTTTAAAATAACCTGCAACCAGCGCCTAATTGTTTGTTGGGATTTGATCAATTTTCAATTCACAATGCTATACTGGAAAATTTTCTTAATGAAAAAATGTTTAAAAAATCCACCAAGCTCAGGTACTCTAAGATGTCTGGGACTCGAACCACGACTTTTCGCAATCCGGGCCACTGCTTTAACCACTGAGCTATACAGGACTGCCGCATTTCATTAAGAATATTTAATTGATGATTTTTTGCTGGATTAAATATTATAAGTTAATATTTGTTTTGTATCTGGCAAACAAAATTACACTGTTTGGGCTCGTTGGATGCGTCTCTATGAGGACTTTGGTACTGGATGCCACACGGGTGGTAATGGAGCTGAAAAGTGGTCATGGTCAACAACAACATACCGACAAAAGTAAAAAATAAAAACGAAATATAACAAAAAAAAAAAGCTTTAAAAACAAGAGGTATTTATCATAGACGACAATGCCATATCAATATAGAATGAAGCTGATCCGATGGCAGAGCCGAAAGATAGCCATGGGATCTCTGCAATTAAATAAAGCAACCTCATCGAGTTTGGGCCATCTAAACATCTATACAAGATCTCGGTAGCGCTATCCTGATACAAAAAATATAATAAAAATAGTTTTTAAAACTAACTTTTATTCTTAATGGAAAATGCTTCAAAAATCCAGTTTGTCCTTGGCATTTGCGGTATTTACGATAAAATAACAATACGCCAAGTTAAATACAGACGTGTAAAAACATTGACGGAATGGCACTGATTACACCAAAACATACATGAAGACAGTATGGACATACATTTATAATTTGAAACGAAACGATTTAGTATCTTGGCGTATAGATCAATTTTCTGCTCACACGCTCAATTTCAAATGGAAATATCTTTATCAATTTAATGTTTTATGTTCATTTTTTAATCATGAGCCTATGTGGTATGGTTTAGATTTCGAAAATGTTTTTTATATTTTTGATTATTCTTACGTGTAGTTTGGTTAAGTCAGATGACGAATATCAAAAATATATAGATTTGCTCCCGGAATCCGAAAAACAGGCGTTTTTAAATGTGATTGCGAGACGGTTATTTAAAGAGGTGAATAATAAAGGAGTTAACTCTGAAGTCAGTGGTGAAATATCTGATGCTGAATTAGATAAACATGGAGATTTCGTTAAAAAGATACTTCAAGAAGAAACTGATAATTTGAGGCGCAACCAAAATGGAAAAGATGAAAATGGTATAGAAAAGTTAGAAGTTAAAGGCGTAAATGACAATCCATCTAGTGAAGATTTTAAAAATATTAAGCATATAGATTTGACTCTAAGGAATGGTGAAAGACTAAAGAGAAGTAGTGGCTCAGAAAAAATGAGTGATACTCACTCTATTGATAAGCCTGATGAAATACCAGTTAAAATTATTTACGACACTGGTACAAAAGTGACGACCGGTCAAAGAAATCTGACATCCAAAGGAAAAGATTTAAGTGGTGAAATATCTGATGACAAAGACATTCAAGTTAGACGTTCAAGAAGAGGTTCTGATTTAGCTCAGAGTGATAGTCCGGAAACATATACTGTTGTTAATAACTATGAACCGGAAGATGAAACAACAGAAAAAAATAATAAGGTAAATAGTGAAATGCCGGAAGATACGGTTGTAAAATCGGATAGTTCAAGTAGCGTCGAGGTCAAGAAACCTTTGCAATCTGAATCACAAGCTAAAGGATATACTGCATCAATATATGAAGCGGAAGGTGAATCTAATAATGCAGAATCAAGTGATACCGACGAGAACGATGAAACTAGAACAACATATTTACCAACTGTTACTTCTGAAGCAATAACAACTGAATTTGTAAAACCAATAAAAATAAATAATACGACTGTTCAAGTTTCAACAGCTACTAACCTTATACAGAACTTAGAAAATAATACACATCATACAACGGAACCAACACATCACTTATATTTAAGATTTGGAAATGAATCTGAAAATGTTGGTATTGATAAAATTTTATTGAATGGTACTTCAGAGAGTAAAATAAATACCGTTGAAAATAAAGATACTAATGAAACAAAGGAAACAATGGACAAGGAAAGTTCTATTAGGCAAACTGTTGTTGGTGGAAATACAACTATCAATGATTTAAAAAACATAACTTATAAATTAAATAATGAAAACAATGAATCGTATATTGAAAGCATAACTGAGTTATCGAATTTCACAGTTAATCCTAGTCTTACTGGCGTTGTATCTACTATGTATAAAGTTATGAACTATTCAATAACATCCAACAAAACAAATTTAAATAATAATACGACTACAACCAAAGAAGAAGAGATGACAGTTTTTAAAAGTCTTCTTAAATCTGTTAGAAGTGGTTTGGAACTTCAATTTGAAGAAAACAATAGCGGAAAAGATTATAGAGGTAAAAGAAAAACTAGACTTTCATCTCATCATAACAAACCAATTAAAAAATCCGAAACATACGAAGTGTATGAAATATGTAAGTACAAAATATTTTTTTGTTGAGTTATCCAATGAAATTTTATTTTAGCTTCAATTTGTGAATAATATTAGGATATGTTTCAATTTTTCTGTTTTACATAATATGTTACAGCTGCAGACAGACCACCATTTATCAAAAAAAGAAACAAGAAACACGATAGCGCAGTTCATTGGAAATCAGTAAATGAAGACCAGCCTTATTATGTCCCTATTTATAATTATTCCCCGGAAAATGCTTACTACAATTCTTATAATAGACTCGGTCCTAATCACGATGAAGAATATCATGATCTCAACAAATATGATATTTTCAAAGTTAATACACCAAAGCAAACGAGAAATAAGAAACCCCTACATAAACTAGATAGCATATTGAGAAAGTTTAAATTCAGTGAAAAGAGACCAGTAAATAAAAACAGAATTATTTTCAGAGATCAACAAATTAAAAAAATCATATTGCCTATCGTTGTTAAGAAGCCGAAACATACAAAAGTGTATTTTAATCCTAATGACTATTTAGATTTGGATTATAGCATTGGACGATCTCGGTACAACACAACGGTTAAAAGGTTAAAATATGTAGCACCAATAAAAAAATTTCCCGATTCTGTTTCCGAAGAGCACGTTTATAATAGTATGAAAAGTGGTAATTCACCGAATTTCCACCGCGCAACTGCAAAAATACTGTATGGACGACATTTGTATTTTCATATACCTAAAGTCAATAAAACTTTAGATGCATCAGAGAGTGAGGAGGCAAATTCCTTGAGAATGCTTAGATCAAGTAATTACAGCGATTATGATAAAAGCAATGCTTTACCAGATGACGAAGATATAGCTGTGGACTATTATTTCGGTTATCATGACAACTACGCAAGATCAAAAGAAAATTTGAAAGAAAAAGGTTTGTTTAAAAAATTGTAATATAAAAATCTCTAATTTCAACATGTCTATTAAAAATAATTATAATTTTATTTTTTAAGTAAAAGCACTGAGAAATACTAACACGGATGACATAGATAATATACCAGAAAACACAGAAGAAGGTAAAAATAATGTTGCAAAACATGGAACTGTTAAAGACATATTATCCATTGATCCAACTAACGCTTTTCTCTATTTGGATGATTTGTTAAAATATGATATTCCTTTAGCAAGGTCTAATGATGACGATGACGATCTTAAACCATACATGGAAATTATTAAAGAAATGATAGATGAAGATAGTAAAGCTTTAATACAATATGATTGGTTGGGTACTACTATCGATATACGAACTGCTCTGAACAAATTAATAGCATTGACGTAAGTAATTTTATTTGTCACTCCTCTACTGGATGTTCCGAAACTTTTGCGAAATTTGACCTAACACATAATTGAAATAATCTTGTTTAGAAATACTTATAAGACAAAAATTATTAAGCATAATTACCAGATTTGACAAACGTTAATATGTCCGACTTTAAAAGCAATGTGTCGATTTAAGGAACATTTTTTTAACTGTTTTAGCAGCGACCTGTTAACCGAGGGTTAAATAATTTAATTAAAGTTATTGAAACATGCTTCCTAATCATAAATTACTTACACGACCTAATAATGCGTTTTGCTTGCATTATTAATTTTGTTAGAAAAATTTTAAACCGAATTCAAAATATTAACTTATCTTAAAGGCGATTTATATGTCCTCAACCTCAAGTCAAGCAACTTCAAACGAACTCGGGCGATCAATATTAATAACCTTCATAAAATCTCCCCGCGTCATATAAACTGCCTTTAAGATAAGTATTATTGCTCGACTTTTTCAGTCTTAAATAAATGAATATAAGAAAACATCATATACTCATTCTTTGCTCAGATCTCAAATCATGTAGATTGTATTATTTGAATCTGAAACAATGAAAGTACCACTTGAAGATTTTTTCAGAAAATATGCATTTCTGAAAAGCAACTACATAACTTCTCTATTATTAAATAAATATAAGTCTAAAATTTAATTTCCTTTTATTTCCCAGTATAGCTTTAAAGTCTGGCGACAAATTAGATCCTCGAGATATGCAATTGATAAATTACGTCAAGTATTTGTTCACAACGTCCAAATCTTCTATTGACCAAGAACATTATCTACGCGATGAGAAAAAGACCAATCATACAAAGCAAAAAGTTTCAGCTTTACCAAGAAACAAATATAGGAAAAAAGAATACTTAAAAGTAAAAGGTCTTTTAGATAGAGCATGGTTGTATATCAGAGGCAGACTAAAAGATGAAAAGTCAAACAATGAGACCAGTTTGAGAGAGTTCCAAGGGTTTTTGTTCGATATCTGGCATGGTTTGCACGATGTAAGTGTGAGGGACACTTAATAAACGTACTTCTTAAAATACCAGTGATATATTCTTAATGAAAAATGCTTAAAAATCCACTTTGTCCCTGGCATTCTGAGGTGGGACTCGAACCCATGATCTTTCGCAATCCGGGCGACTGATCTAACCACTGAGCTACCCAGGACTAAACATTATTGCCTGAACATTAATGAAAATACGCTCTATAGTTGCGAAAAAGTAACATGTGCTTGAAAAATTCGACAGTCCTGTTAGGTCCTGGGTATATCCTGTCCTGTAAGGTGAATGCAACATTGGTCAAATATAATTACCACTGATAAGTTCTTTCTTTTGATATTAACTTTCTTTACATTTGCTCCATCCTTAATGTGTGGTTTCTAGCTTAGCCTAGCTACTCTTCTTTTTTATTTAAACTTAGTTATTTTGATGGAGAAAAGTGGAGGAAACTTATACCGACTTATGTTATTGCATAATCTATGTTCTTTTCAGCTGCACGATGCACTAACAAATATAGCAGCTATAATAACATATGGCAATCAGAGATGGTATCAGCATTTAAAGGATTTATACCTGAAAGACGCGCAGAAGAAGCAAATTCTAGAAGTGTTGTTACATATGGTCACTGTCAGAGTCATGGATTTGATAGAAACGGCTGCCAAAAACGGCTTAGAGGATAACTTTGCGTTATATATAGAGAACCATGAAGAAGAAGTTTTGAGGACCAAAGAAGACTTTCAATTTGGTTTAAAAGTTTTGGGTGAATTAAAGAAGTTAGTCTAGTAGCAGTTCTATTAATCAAACGATTGAGTTCTATTTCCATATCCGAAAATATAACAGTTGGAATATTTTTTCTGATATCTTAAATATTCATAATCATACTATACATATTAGTCAATTTTACTCAAGTGAATGGATCTCAATAACAATTGTATAAAAGTCTGAATATCCTTTCCTCATAATAAGATTTGGGAGTTTCGGAGTGAATCAGCTGTGATTGACGGCCAGGCAGACAGACGACCAAGTGATCTTATAAGGATTACGTATTTGCTTTTTCTGTACATCGTGTTAAAACAAAAAAGTTGTTTTATTATATCGATTAATGACGTAGCCTTCATTTATAATCCTTTCACCACAGATATCTAAAAACATTAACTTGTAAGAGGAAGGTAAAGAATTATAAAAAGCAATGTTTACTTCACATTTTTATTTTAATTATAAATAGATGCTAAAATATTATTATGCTTTGGTTTTCCATGAAAAAATCTATTTACATTTCATTGATAAAATATATTAATTTGATTCTATATTAAGATGCCTACTTAACCTATAAATTATAAATGATACTAATTAAAAAAAATAAACGATTAACAAAAGAAACCATGATGGTTGGAAAAATATATGAAATATTTAAATTTAAAGAGATATATAAATAAAACGGTGCGGATATATACAAGTAGATAAATAAATATGACCGGAAGAGCTATCAAATGAGTATGAAATGATATCATGTGCTTGAGAATATGTCATCTAAGTACAGTCCAGTCGCCAAACAGAGAGAATGCTGTATTTGTACCTAATAATAGATATCGTAAATAATTCAGGTTTTACTATGACAAAATTCAAAATTTTCACCAACATTGTTGATGGTAACTTTATGAAGTTAAAAAATTAGGATTCTAAATTTATATGTACTATTAGAAGAAAAATTAAATTCTAATAGACTCTTCGTCAGGCCTCTGTTTCCAAATCGGCTTCTATTTCTTCTGGAGTGCGAAGATCAATAGCAAAACGTTTCTTCAAGCTGGGAGGCCTCACATCAGGATCTGGAATGAATAGCAAAGTGTTAGTTAATATGAGTGCTCATAACGAGGATAATAAAATTAGACAATGTCACATACAACGTGAAAGTGAAAGGGTTGAGAAGCCGGGGGTAGATCAAAACACATTGCACAGAAGTAATAAAAATCCGGCGAGCATGTATGAAAAATGCTATGAATGTCAAGGAAGCGAAAACCTGTGTATTGTGTAAGGATTATGCCTTATGGTGCTTTGTTCACTGTGCCTGGTCTGAAAGGCATTTGGTTGACATTGGAGACAATTAAAATGCACTACCACATTTGATTTAATATGATTTATCGAACGCTACACACTGTGTTTAAAAATATCTGACCTAGGAAGTTATAGATAGTTAGATATTCACATACACTGTTCTGATTATAAATTTAAGTATTCTCATTAAAGAAATCTAAAATACTGAATGTGATAGACTCAAACTTACAAAATAGTCCCGTAGAGAATTAACCAAGGGTATTTAGAGATTGAAGATTTAACCATACTATAGTACCAGCCATCTGCAGATAATATAGAAGAAATTTAAAATTAAAGGCTTTTCTACATTGCTATAACGGCTATATAACAGATAGGTAGTAGTAATAGGAGTTGGAAGAAAAGATAGGGCTCAAAGTCAAGGAAATAATATAATAAAGATAATAATTAAAATATATATAAACTAAAATACGCAGCACAGCATAGCAGAAAGAACTAAGACCAAAGAAAAAAAGGAGAATGAAATGTTAACAAAAAAATAGACTTCTAAAAATATCTCACCGGCCTGCTGGCCAGTTCGTAACAGGCTATATATAAATTACTAGGTGCAAATTAAGCATATTGGATGAAAGAAAAAGCAGAGATCCATCATTAACCACCTGGTCACTACTAACAGACCACAAGAAAGTCCAGCTACGAGTATCAGACATAACACAACTAGCAATAAAAATACGAAATAAATAAATATATTGAGTATTGTAAATTTTTGAGAGCCAATCGAATTCGTATTATAAATATTATGAATGTTTTCTAAATTGAAATGTGTACAACGTGACCTATTTCCGCAAAGGGAACTAAGATTTCTTATACAGAAAATTGAAAATGGTGCCCGATATGAATTTAATGATGGGATACCTACTACAGAACCAACTAACAGTAATAAAAAGCGATTAAATAAAACAATAAATATCACAAAGTTGTAGAAAATTGGTTTCGGATATTACGTATTTGGATAAATATAAAGCTGAAAGTATTTGTAAAGATACCTAAGTCAGGCGATTAGACAGTAAATACATCTGGCAGATTCAGATTACTATATCCAAAGACCACAAAAAGATATGCAGACGATCAATAAGATAAATAAGATAATATCTGATTGATGAACCTGTTTATCACCAGCTATATGTCGCCTTACGATGTCCCAAGAATCTGCGAAACTTAAAGAATATGCTAATGAAAAGACAGAAATAAGCAACAAACAACTTTCAAAATAATGGAGAATATAAATACGGGACCACTAAACAATTGAGAAATAACTGTAAGACACTATCTTTAAACTAGCACGAGTTATACACATAAAATAATGATCTAATGAATTTTTGATATATTTCACTAACCTTGTGAGGCTTGCAGTTCTTTTACTCTTCTTGAATAATCTTGGAAGGCAGCAGCTAAGGAGTACGTTAACTTTCTTGCAGCATTTCTGAAACAAGAAAATGTCAGTGATTAATCATCAGAAAATTAAAGACCACGCTAGTAACCACAGGGTTCATGGCTAGGGCCAGTTCTGTTCCTTGCGTTGTTCTAAAATAATATCGTAGACTTCAATTATTTTATAATTCTGTCAATAAAGATAATTGAATTGAAATAACATCATTTCTATCTTTCTTATGATTGGTATCTAAATTATTATCGGAGAATTTCTTAAGGTACACTCTACATGTCTCTAACTTCACAGACTTCTATAAATATCTTATCTCTGTTAAAAAAACTTCTCAACACAAATTCCTTATCTTTCTAGCTCGTGAGAAATTCACAAAATAACAACACTTGAACAGTCTTTTGTGTCTATAACATCATAACATTTTCGATAACTCAATAACATTTTCGATTACGAAACTTACACCTACCTAGCCTTCTTGTGTGACTTTGTAATGATCATTAGTAAATTGTGTTTTATCAAAGTTTTGAGTTTTCTGCTAAAAGTCAATAAAATTATAATTTCCTTACTTCTTATCCTAGAAGTTGAGTGGCTGAGGTAACACAGTCTAAACAGCAAAGTAATGACAGGCAAGATATATTTTTAAGAAATTTATTGCATAGAGTGAGTCCATTAACATCTTCATAGACAATTTCAGCATTTAAGTCCAATATATTAAGATTCCTATTAAAACTTCTATTTGAAAAGTTGATCAAATTTAGTAACTAAACTCTTTTTATGTATCTATTATTGTAGCTTAATATTTTTTCTTGAGCTTCTAACTGATTGTCTTAAATAAATAATAATAATTGTTAGGATTTAAATCGCACAAGTATACTAAAAATGACAAATTTCTACAGCTAATTAAAAGCTCTAATCTGTTTATAGTATAAATTCATTCCAAAATTTAGTTTTTTACAGTAATCTAATGTGCATAATTGTGCTGCTGTATGTAATAAGAAAATAAGCCTGTTGACCTGTTTTAACAATCCTTGAGATTATATGACAGCATCTATGATATGATAGTGATAAAGCGACAACTGGGAACATTGCAAAAGCGAAGAGTGTAAACTTCGTGATAATAATAATTATAAATTAAACTCGTGTTTTAAAGGCTACTTCTTTGTCTTTAGCTATAGACATGTTGCAGAACACATTTGATTGAGTGTATAAAGGAACGTCGTCAAATTTGTACTATAACCAGAGTACTAGATGCAGTACTATTCAAACATTGTCCTAAACCTATAAGAAGTTTATGGTTGATAAAAGAGAGGGTTCTTTAATTAGAACATTATATCATCATCTGCTTATTAATATCCTGAATGCTGGGCCACAGGTCTTCCCTATGGATAAAACCCAATCGAATCGAATAGAGAGAATGGGCTATGAGTCCTCATGTGGGCTCAGAGATGAGGGACCGACGGGTTAATGTGCCTTCCGAAGCAGGGAACACACTTTTATTATATATATACGATAGGCCGTCGAAACTTCTGAATTGCAGTCCAAACTTGCTAGCCACTGTGTCATCGAGCTCTTCAAAAAAACTATAATAATGTTAATACATGTGGTGTTTATCAAATATTTTTCTTATCGAGATTCCATACCTAGACTCATTACCTGTTTACGCTCAGCCTAATTAATTATCAGAGGGTGATGTCACTAAAATTGAGTAAAAACCTAGCGTGCCGTGTATATAAATAGATTTTTATGAGCTAACGTTATAAGAGCAGATCTTGTCTTATCTTAAAAATATCCCACCTGGACTCACAGACGAACGCATGGCATTCAAAAGGGTTCAATCCTTTAACATCCGCGTTGTCCTTAACAATGATCATCGAAAACACCCTAGTGTACACCAGATCCTGGACCCCGTACGATATTGACTCGATATTGAAGAACACTGACATCCGATCGAATTCACTACGGCGTGTGCCTTGATCTACAGTCTCTAGATGCACTCCATCCACTGATATGGTGAGTTTCACTATCGGCAGTATTTGATCTGGAAATGGAAAACAAATATATATTATTGATTTGTTGCGGCTTTTGTGAGACTCTATCTGATTGTATTTGTGACACGTGGACATTCAATAAAGGAACAATTTGTGCATAGACTTGAATGAATGAATAAATAAATGAATTAGTGAAATAATCGAATGGATAGTGGGTACAATATTTTTTTTATAAGTCATAAACGTAAAAAACCATATAAAGGATCGATATATTTTTAAATATTCCAAATAGATATAAGTAAAAGTGGGGGTGAATCGAAAATTTATTATAATTGTATAAAATTAGTATTCTTACCAGGTGGTAGGGCTTTAGCAGCGGCCACCATCAGGTCAACAGGTTTCCTCGTGTGCTTGATGCCCCATAATCCTCTTGCGTCACTCTGGCCCAGATATTTCACCTGGAAACGTATATGAGATATTATCATGTTAATCCTTATAATGTAATAATCTTTAAGTCAGTCAGGTCCATGCGGTTAAGTCAATCGAAATTGTTTTTTTATATTCTGATTATTTCCCTTATATAATAGCTAGGTAAATTTTTATTTGGCAATTTTGGGGCGATTCTTGACAGAACAGTACTTGGAGACTATCCTTTTTCTTCTCTGTGATACTTGGGAATAATATTCTTGGTTTTAGACCTACATACATTACATTATTCTCACTAAATAAAAAATCTAAAATAAAATACGATAATCAAAACTAAATTGGTTTTTAATGAGGTATTTTTATAAATATTGTTATTATATAGTAGGTATACTTACAAGAATACTGTTAGAATATTTTTAATGAAAAATGATAAAAAATCCACTTTGTTCCTTGCACTCTGAGATGGGACTCGAACCCATGAGCTTTTGCAATCCGCAATACTTTTCTCAAGAATCACAGGGGATATTTCTAACAGTCAAAATCGTTTGAAACCATCATTTCATTGAAATAAGATTGCGTTACGTCACTAGCAAATATATGAAACAAATGACAATCCTTTGTCAAACTAATCAACATATATTACAGACTACTTTATGGTGTAGAAAGTGATGGTGCTAATTTGGGAGTGATAAAGTCACGTCACGGTTGTTCTAATGAGCTCACAGTCATGTTGCAACATTACAATAAACACACTGCGTAGAGAAAGTTCATGTTGAGTATGAAACAATATTCATCACTAACTCAACAGACTGCTGTGGCACTGGCCATGGATGGAATCCAATCGAATAGGGAGAGGCCATGACCCACCACGTGGGCCCAATTTGGATTAATCAATGTTAACAGCTGCAGATACAGTAGGGACCAACGGCTTAACGTGCATTCCAAAGCATAGAGAAAAATCTGAGTTGTATCTCATTGGATGTTATGGTGGTGTTGTTAGTAGCGCTTCTGCGGCTTTCTTTTGCATAAAGACTAAAACTTGCAGTGAAAGCCTATGACATTCGAGATTACAATAACCATTGGCATTACGGTTGGCGGCCGAACGTTAATTTTTTGGAAGCGACACCAGTGTTTTTGAGAAACTGACCTAGCCTTTAAGCCGTCGTCGTCAAGTGAGGAATCCTATCTCACTTGATGACGCAAATCTTAGACATCATGTATATTGTTGTTATATTGTGTTGGCTTGTAATGCGGTGTCCTAATGAGATATGACTCTTGTTTCTTCTTATTTTCACATATAATAGACGAGATCGAATTGTTATAACCCTGCTTGTATATAAGGATATAGCTAACGGCATTTCCAATGTTTGTCCACATAATATTTTAACAAAATTTTAACGGTTTTTAACAAAATTTTAATAATTTAATTTTACAATTTAGTTCTTGTTATCATAAAGGGGTGTAAAAAAGGGGTGTTTCGCTCGGAAATATTAAGAATGTAAGTATGAAAATAAAATTTTAATATGATTCCGTATGTCATCTCTAATTCACCATACAACATGTTACACTTGTGTCAACAATTAATAATGCATTTGGAACGAGGACATGTGGAAGCGGACGTGACATCACAGCTTTGTGTATGGTCATAGAGCATGATCGATCATACCCGTTGATCTTTTTTATCTATGCTAGCGTAAACATTTAAGCATGATTACTATTCATCTCTTATTTAAAGATAATCCCATTTTGGAGTTCTCAAATCGTATCTTAGAGTAGGATGTTAATAAAAAAATATTGTGTAATATCTATGATATATAAAGGAAGACTGAAGATATAACAAATCAAAGTATTAGGAATATAAAGTTGAAGTTTGCACCATGATTCCTTTTATAATAAAAGTGAACAGAAAAGATTTTTCGGATATTCGTCTTTATTTAAAGGTTACCTACTAATAAATACCTGTTGGAAATCTTGCCTTTATGATAATTATATGAAATGTTCGGTGTGCTACTCCGGCTCGCACTCAGACGGTGGATTATAATTGGGCATTCTATTAAATTACAGCGATAACCAATAGTTGCGTAGAAGGAAGTGGGTATTGCGCATTCTTCATATGAAACACGATTTACAAAAGAAAGGAAATATGGTACAGAGTGTCCGGTGCAGATTTCGCAAGAATATCTATTTAATCTTTATTATTTTGGTTTTAAGCACCGTGAAGTAGGTATACCAAAAATTTTGGAAAGGCAAAATACTGCAAAGCTTTCCGTTACATTTTTTTAACTCTCACAATATTTAAAAAAATACGGACTTCTTTTTGAATAAGGCTGGCGACAAGATAACGAAAAAAATTGTCGAAATCAACGCCCGTCTTGGAGAAATTATAACCACCCACGTAAATTATAGCCCATGTCAACCGCATATGATGCAGCTTTTCGTAGGTGAAAGAAATTTCATGATTAGATCAGTATTTTCGAAGATTACCATAACTCAACAAAGTTAAAAACTCTACCTCTTTCTAATATTGATTTAGATGAGTAACTTCCAAATTATAAGATGCGTTTATAATAAGAATACTTCGCAGAACCCCCGCCTACAAAGTAACTCATGCACATATTATCAAATTTCCCTATAAACAAAAAGTATGATAAAGAGAAAAAATAAATAACGGGTGATTGGTAATGTTTTTCTAGCGATATAGTTTTATAAATTCTCGTTTTCACTGTGATAAAATGCTTTAGATCATTTCTTTTGTATAAAACCTTATTACTCATCAATCCGTACGTGAATAATATTTCTTGTACACACGGCCGCATGTCACGCTAAACACTACCACCGTAAGCAGACCTTTGTTAGTAGGGAAATTCTATACGAAGCGCGGTTGATATAACTTCCACAATTTTAGAAAAAGGTTAGTTCTCCAAAGTAAACTAGATGTCACTAGCGATTTTCGGATAATAAGTATTCATTTAACTTTTCTTGTTCACATAATATAAGTAAATCGAATATCGAAAATTAATTAATATGACATTGTTTTGAGTTTCTTTTTTAATGGATAGCGCGAGAAATCCGTCATTGATATATGCTCGCGTATTTTTATTTCCTCACAAACAATGGCATATCGAAATACAATATGTTACATAGGTATGTTCTATATCTATACATATATAAAAGGAGATGTCTTGACATACTAACTGACAGAAAACATTCAGCCTAAAGAACAAGTCTTTGAGATAAAAATTTTGGAGGATACTTTCCTTTTATAACGTAGAGGTGTATTAAGAACGGATTTTTGGATATTTTACCCCGAAGCGTGAACATTCGTATGAAACTTCTTTTTTTGGACTTATATCCATGAAAATTGGCTTTTTATATTCCCAAAAACCAGCACTTAAAGGGATGAGAATGGGAATGAAAGTTTTTATGGGAATTTAAAATCTTACCATAGCAACCATTGTTTACTATTTCATTAGTGATTGTAAGAAATCTATCTTATATTATTTATAAAGATTTCCATAAATAATGTTGAAAATTGGTGTTTGAGTATGTATGTATAATTACCATTAAAAACATAAAAATGTACAAAAATGCACAAGTCTCACAACGCAATTCTTTTGCCGTAAAAAGTTATGAAATCGACGTAAACCAAGTCGATTAAATCAAAATCTGTATTTCTGTGGGAACTGTTAGAATTAAGAAACAGTAGTACTTATATACATATAACAAAGTTAAAAGGTCAACTAACACACTTAAGTTCACTTTACAAATTCACTTTACAACTATTACTCGTTTTTTTTACTTTCTTGTACGGAACCCTTCGTGCGCGGATCTAACTTGCACTTGGCCGATTTTTGGTAAAGGGTTGACGTATGGAATTGAAGTTTTTATGGAATAAATATTTGCTTTAGCGTTTTTGAAAATGCTACCCAAAATAACTATACCTCGCGTATGAAGTCTCGGGCAAAAGCTATTTAAAATATAACAACAATTTGTTGCCTGAATGACATACTTTTAACTTATAGAAATAAGGTACCCTTTGGGTATGCTCTTGTATTTAAATTTTACATGTACAATGAAGTTTCATCTGTATATATGTATAGAAGGTATATGATATTAGGTGTCATTTATTTATTAATTAAATCCATATTTGCTAAAAAATATAAGAATATTACGGAAAAATTTTAAATATCCTATTTAAATTTTAAAAATGGCTTACATTTTAAGTGCAACCTAAACTTTGTGGATTTTCTGATCTCACGTAAAAACTATAAATACTTCTTGTAACAACTAATATGACATCGAATGGTGAACTATAAAAATTATAAAAAGGATTTTCGAGAAATTTAGCTTTCTTTGATATTGACTTTGCCACATCTTTACAATTAATAGGATTAAGAGGAAATATTTGTTTGTTTATTTGCATTAAATAGGCGATTAAACTATATGACTGAGTTTAATAACTATCTCACCTACCAGAAGGAAAGAGTTCACAGAATTTTCGAAACTCACATAACCTGCTGGGGCGGTCAAAAGTAACAAAAACATAACGTTCAATATTAAAGAGTCAAATTGATGTTAATTAATTTAACCTGTGATCTTTGTATGTGTAAGTACACAAATTTTCGCATAAAATACAGTATAAAAATATTCGCGGGAAGAGTTTTGAACCCAGCTTGATCTTACCTAATTATTCTAATTAAGCAACGTACCTAAATTTGTAACTTGCGATTTACTAGCTTCTCGTATGTCATAAGTGAGTATATTTTTCTCCTTATCTAATATACCAGGGACTTCAGCGAGTGGACATCAATTGTCTTTGTCTACTCCAGCACACAGAAGTTAAAAGAACCATTTATGTATAAAAATGACATTTTAAACTTGTCGCCTAAAAAGGCCCGCGGATGTTTTCCGCTGCAGAGATAAAAATCCAACTAGAATACGTCTCAATAATAGTCCGGCATCGACTGATCAGTAACGGAAGAAGAATGTAATTAAAATATATTTCAGTTCAGTTATTAGCACTCAGTTGTGA